CCGCTATAAATCCTAAAATCACTACTACCCACCAAAACTGCTACTGATTTTATGCAGTAGTGGATTTATAAGCACTTTTTTTATAAAAACATCACTAATACATGGAAGAGAGAGAAAATATATTACATATATTTATTATTTTATGTTTTGTGAAATACCAAACAAACCCTTCATTAATAACCACCATCGTGCTAACTCCTATGAAGTTAGCACTGTAACCTCTCCCGATGATGTTGGATGCGAGTTGCGGTGGGCGGCTGTGATGCCGATGAAGAGTGGTGGCAGGAGGGAGGTCGGGCGATGACGAAGCAGCGGCAGGAGGTCGTAGATGGCCATCAGAAATGTTCAAGTGCAAGGATTCATCTATCTGCTGGAGAAGAAATATGAACCACCATTCCTCTGCAAATCAATGATCCCATACAACACATTAAAAATAAATTGCAATCCCTAAAAACGCAGAGGAACTGCAACCCCTCGATGGCGATGGCGTTCTCGACACCGGTGCCTCGCACTCCTATTCCTCGTCCTCATCACCGGCAGAGAATTATAGGTGGCGAGTTGGAAATGACGATTCCGAAATAGTTCCGGATCGAGATTAAGGGTGCTGCTTCTGTTTGCTGTCTTGACCCCTGTAAGGACCTTTATTGAGGAATCTGGCGAAGAAATGGCGAAGAAGAAGATACAGAGGGAAAGAAGAGTTCTTATTATCTAGCTATCTACAAATTGGGAAAGTAGCAATTATGTTTACCTACTGGTTAAATGGTAGCCAATTACAGATTTTTTCTTCCCTTTTATACATTGGTCACTCCAAACAGGCAAACACGTCATCAATGCCAGCTGTCCGGGTTGTTACAAAATCTTCCCCTGCAGACACAGCTTTTCCTCAAGCTGATTCCAAGTTGTTATCAAGATGGAAATGAGGGAAACTGAAGCTTGAAGGTCTGCAGATCTTCCCAAGTTGCTTCTGCTGGTGATTGGTGCGTCCACTATACCAAGACTTGGGTGACACCAACTCTTGCAGTTTCGGTTGGTGCACTAATTGCCTGGTCAATAGCTGGAAGTTGGACATCAGCCTTGGTTCTAGGAGTTGGATAACAGCTCTCTTGTGGGTTCCAGCCTTCAGGAAGTGGAAGAGTTTGACAGAACATCCCAACCAACTCTGCAGCTAGGAAACACAAAGACTTGTTGAACACAACTGCAATTCGAATAATCACACCCCAAGAGTAACAAAGACAGATTAGAGCACAAATCCATAAGGCATCCAATGATTTCTCAGTATGATCCACTCTTTCACAAACTAGCTTCGCTACTGCGAAAGTAGGCAACTCTTGTGCATTCAACCCCTTATCTCCCTCACTCAAACCATAATTATGTTTCCTCCTGACAGTCTCAACATCACCAACATGCTCTGCACAATCCTTGTAAGGGCCTTTAAAATCAGGATAAGTGCACCCTTAATGATAACTCAGGAGAACCCCATAAAATGTTGGGAAAATTCGAAACCCAAAATGCCGTGTAACCTTTGTGAAGTATTCATGTGTAAACCCACCATCAACAGAAGCTTGGAAGCCATAAGTAACAGCTGAGTCACTAATAACTATGTCAATGGTTTGCAACTTTTGATGGGGATTCACAACAGAGGAGACATACATGGACACAGAGGAGTTCATTTGCTGGACAATATTATCAGCAAGGGAATCAAACACATCACTCTTAATACAAGGATCAATGAGCTTGGGAACCCCTAAGAAAGAAGAGGTGGAAGGAATGGCAGAAGGTTCAGGGACAACTTCAATAGAGAAAAGCGCACCAGTAAGGTGGCAGATCGGCTTCTTCAGAAGCTGTTGAAAGGAACGCCATGTCAGTACCCGACACTGACCATCCTTGGTAAATCCTTACAAAGTCAGAAGGCGCCCCTTCCAATCAAAAGATAGCTGGCATTTCTTCAAGTCTACCAGAAATGGACTGCCTGTCTCTAACCAGTCCCAACTCAGCACAAGGTCATGATCTGGTAAGTCGAGAGTCCGGACATCGAAATCGAATTCTTGACCCTGCATCTTCCAACTAAACCCTCGACACACAGAAGTACTCAACAATGTATGACCACTAGCTACCTTGACACGCAATGGAGCAATACTTTCTGTTCTATATTTCAATTCGTCTGCCTGAAGAGAGTTCAAGAATGTGTGCGAGATGCCCGTATCGATTAGAATAGTTACCTCACGCTGTCCCGCTGTCGCTGGAATGAGAAGAGAGTTGCCCGCAAAACCAGGTCCCATTTCTTGCAGCGAGACCTTCAACTCTGGGTCCTGACACCCCTCTTCCATGGCATCTTCTTCGCTGACCATGTGTGAGGCATCCGCTTGCATCGACTAAAGTTGTGGCCACTTTGTACATACATGGCCATGAAAATACTTGGCTCCGCACTTGTAGCAAAGGCCCTGCCCCCTTGGAACCGAACTGGGCGGAGGTAGCGATGGCTCCCTCGTAGGACCCTTTGTTGACGAGGCAGGCATCGGAGATGACCAACAAGCATGATGCAACTTCCGATTGCGAGCGTCAATAGCAGACTCCTCCAGATGAGCTTGATAGAATGCACACGCCAGCGTCGGAGGATTGAGCACCTGTACGTGGGGCTGGATTTCCTCATCGAGACCCCCTAGAAAGCTCACGATGAAGTAATATTCATTGAGGTCTGGGTTCAACCTCAGCATTCTGGAATGGAGATCCTCGAATTCTTCTTGATAGTGAGAAACAGTCGTCGTTTGCCGAAGCTGATTGAAAGCTGCGACGAATTGAGTTGTTCTTGATTCCCAAATCGGTGAAGCAAATCCTCGACGAATTGCCCCCATATTAATGGAAACCGACGGAAGGACCACCCTTCAAACCATATGAAAGTGCGACCTTCCAAGTAATACGAAACTAAATAGACCTTCTGCTCCTCCAGAATCGAATAGAGATGAAAAAGTTTGTTGCATTTGCTCATCCACGCATGAGGGTCGGCGTCAGAGAAGTGAGAGAACTCAAGCCTGGGATAATGATCCAGAAGCGTCGGCCAACGATGTTAATGCCGGAATTGTTGATTGTCGAAGAAATTATCGTGATTGGTGTGTTGCTGAGCTCGCACTGGCGATTTCTCGCGAAGATGAGCCAATGAAGCTGTAAGAGCGTCAATATTCTCCTTCGTCGAAGAGGCGAGAGCGGGATGGCTGCTTTCAGATCGTGGTTCTGGGAATCCATCTACTGTTGGACCTCCGCCATCTACGACTCCAAATCGATGATGCGGGATTTGTTCGTCGCCATTGCCAAAGTATAGGCTTCTGATACCACTTTGTAAGGACCTTTATTCAAGAATCTGGCAAAGAAATGGCGAAGAAGAAGAATATACAGAGGGAAAGAAGAGTTCTGATTATCTAGCTATCTACAAATTGGGAAAGTAGCAATTTTGTTTACAGACTGGCTAAACGGTAACCAATTACAGATTGTTTCTTCCCTTTTATACATTGGTCACTCCAAACACATCATCAATGTCAACTGCCCGGGTTGTTACAACCCCCTAGGACGAGAGTGAATGGGAGTTCGAGGAACCGGCGGGAGAAGTAGGGCGAGAGTCTCAGATCGAGCATGAGGGTCGGAGCTGCGGGAATTGATCAACGGGATTCCTCTCCCAATCGGACATGCAGCAACAAAGCGAGTCGAGGACCACTTGTTCAATCGCGATCAATATGTTGCCCTCCTCTCTCTCGCTTTCAAGGGACGCAATCTTCTGGTTTGAAGGTTATAACTTTTCTATTTTTTTGCTTGCTTTTCTAGGGTTTGATTCTGGACAAGGAGAATTGAACGGAGAGAGGGGGATTCTTTGAATAATGGGGACCGGAATTAAATGAGGGATCAGCTCACTAGTCCCTCTTCCTCCTTCTTTGCTCTGCGATCTCGTCTTTCAATTCACATCCCGATTTCCTCCAACTCGTCCGAACCCACTCGCCCTCTCCATATCAGTCAAAACCGTCGGAGGTTACACCGCAGCAAAAATGACAACAGGGAAAGCTTAAAAGAGAGCCGTTAGCGATGGTGGTAGCCTCAAAAGTTTCGCTGACATTTGTGAAGAACATTTCCGTGGACCGCGTTTCCTCGTCTGAAGACTCGTCCTGGTCGTCTTCACCGGCGTTGGAGGAGAGAGGATGGCAGGGAGAAGAAGAATAGGGTTAAGTTGGGTTCTCGGTTGGGTAACGAGGTAGATATTTTTTTTAGGCTGGGTTGGTCAAGAAGGATTGAGTATGGGTTGGGTGGGTTATCTTATGTGACTTGTTTTTAGTGATGTGACGGGTCAATATAGGTTGATTAGTCTTTTCTGTTAGTCACGTCAGCAACAAACTGACGTCATTAACAAAGACTAACGGAAGTTAACGGAGAGTGACTAAACTTGGACGATTTTTGTAATCTCAGTGACTACAAATGGAATTAAATATTTTTAGTGATCAAACGTAAACGTGTTTGGTAAACTCAGTAACCAACATTACAATTTACCCGAAATATTGGATTTTACTATTTTACCTAGATTACTTCAATTTTGTTTATCAATGAATTTAATTCATTTTTTTTATCGTGGAGATACCCTAAATTGATTGATATATTTATCGAGAACTACTACGTACTAACTAATCAAAATGATTTATAATATCGTAGTTAACCATATTAATTATTTAGCCTAAATAATGGTATCTCTAAAAATGAATGCGTGGTTCCCTATTTAATCCACTATCTTTTCGATATGAATTTATATCATGTGAAATGCGTTCGTTTCCAAGAATCAAACGCAAACCTAATGAACTCACTTCTTGGTACGAGATCGAAATATGAAATTCTCAACGAGCACTTTAATCATCAACAATAATAAAAAATAAAGAGGAATACTATAATAATTTGTAATTCTGCCAAGTATATTATGCGGTATAAAAGACTTAAAAGTCTAAGAAAATGAAATTCCAGGCTAGCTCCTGAAAGTTTTCGTCCCAAAGAGATGAGGCGATGTGTTTGAAGCACCTCCGGATTTTGGGAATCAGAAAAATCAACTTTTGATGGAACCCAAGAGCCAACCTCCAATCCCATTCCTCATAAGAAAAGCCAAACTTCTAATCTCGAACCTTCATGGTTTGGTTGTCACCATCAGAAGGAAGCAGGACCTATGCCCCCTGCGCGTTAACTTCAACGTTGGATTCATGCAACTGCTGGCTAGCTGTTCGATGAAATGCCCGAGAGAAAAGTGAAGATCCCCACGAGCGGTTGTTGCAAAGAAAACCTCCCTACATGAGATTTTCCACCGCGTCTATAAGTATCCACTTCGCCTCTAACCTTTGAAAAGTTTCAGCTGCTTTTCCTTCTGAACCTAAAGATTGCAGATACATACTTCCCCTGCTCAACTAAACACTGTTTTTAGCTTCTGTAAGTTCTTGGGCCTAACAATGGTGGGTAGTATGCCACCTTGCCTCCTCCTTTTACTGAAACTTGGCTTCCTATGCATTGCAACCTTCTTCAGCCATGCATCAGGTTTGCTCCGACAGCCCTTTCCCCCTTTCTCAGCTTTTAAAAATCTCATGACCTTGAAACTGACTTAAATGTTGTTGCAGGAGACTGTGCACTGGACTTCAAGGCGTTCCCATACCAACCCACTGGCGAATGCGTCGGTAACAATAAGGTAGAAGTGAAGGATTTGAACACCATCAGCACAACACTCTGCTGTAGAAACGTCCTTCAAGTCATAACCCAAAACCTCGGCCTGAGAGCAAGCCAAACACATGGCTCGCTCTTTCTTCCACAAGACCAATGGAAAGAATGCACTGGCCCTTTCCACGAGCAGAACTCTGTTTCCCCACTCTCTTGTGGGTTCGATTTGCTGTACAGTGGGAACGGCCCTTGTTCCGCCCTATCTTTGGCAACATTGGAGCAGCTCTTTGGGTTCAGAACTACTGTCAATTCGTGTTCAAATCTTAATGCTTCGTTTGATAATGCTTGCAGCACTTGTGCTCAAGCGATTGTGTCTATGAGCACACATTTGATGTCGAACGCTCACGTTAGCAGTGATGACAGCACTCAAGCAATGATGTGCACAGTTGCTGTCGTGGTGGCGATTGCAGCACAGAAGTTGGAAGCGGGATCTTCCGTCGATGATCTTTACAGGTGTTTGCCTGTCATGCAGGATTTTGGTGGTAAAGTTCGATTCTGATCCAATTTTATGAGTGATTCTGTATCCATTTTTGGTGGTTACCTTTTCTGAAGTTAGTAATGAGAATGGTTTGGTGAGCCGGATACTTTTATGTTCATTCCTGTGCCATGAATGAAGGTCCAAGTTAGGGAAGTATTCGTATGAGACATAGATCGGGGCAGGTAGACCCATTATGATATGTGAATATGAAAAATGCAACTTTTTCCAAGGATAGATGGATAGAATACATGACTAATGAACCCACAAAGTCATACTTTCATTCTTTTAAGGAGTCAATATAGCAAGAACGAACCCGTATTAGAAAGATTTAACACAATCAGCATTCAGCAGAGAACAAGTCAAGATGAAAGTATAAGATCCACAGCTTGGTTCATTCTAATCAGGAGCGAATTATACCTTTATAGTACAAGTTAATATAGTCGATCGAACCGATCAAGTTGAAATGGACATTCTATTTCTGAGTTTTAAAGAATCTTAATGAGTTTAATGTTGAATTGTTGATGTTGCAGGCTCAAATGAAGGCTACGTGAGAATCAAAAGTAAGTAACCCACTTCCATCCCCCAAAAACAAACTTCTACAACTATGCCCCCAACAAGAAACTAACATAAACAAGTGTAGCTCTCTCTCAGATTCCGTGGCGAAAGCAGCAGGTTCCGTCCTAATAGCCGTCGTGATACTAATTCTAGTTCTCATCCTCGTCAAATTCGTGACGAGGAGCAAAGACAAAGGTAGAAGGAAAGCTGGGAAACCACTTTTGGAATCCCAAGAAGTCACGGCGTGGTCTGGTCTCTACAGATTCTCCAAGTACGAGATTCAGAATGCCATGAACTACAATACCAGTACCAGTGAGAAGACGAGTCTCGGGAGAGGAAGTGCTGGACAGGTTTACAAAGGCGTTTTGCCTAGTGGACAAGTTGTAGCAATCAAGCATATCCATCAGGGACATACTTCAGATTCCTTCCATCGTGAAGTTGAAGGGCTTTCCAGGATTAGACATCCCAATCTCGTTTGTTTGTTTGGTTGCTGCATTAATGGCCCTGATCGGTACCTCGTCTATGAGTTCTGCTCAGCTGGCAACTTAGCTCAGCATCTGCTAAGTATACATTCTCTCTTTTGAGGTCTTTCCATTTTCTGGTTAACATTTTGATACATGTCATATATGGATGATAATTTTGACCTGATTTGCACTGACCTATTTTGTGCGGATGTTATTCACCCTGTGCGCAGCTTGTGGTGGGATATATGGATCCTACTTTTGCCCCCTTCAGATGAAAAATTATATTATGATGTCTTGCACATTATCCACATTTGCCAGTTTACGTTTTAATGTATGAACTAATAATCATTTACTCCTAGACGTTGACAAATGAGAAAATGTTTCTCCAAAACACTTAAAGTTCTCAAGAAAGTGCCAACCAAAACATGATTTCATTCAAATCCAACCCACAAATCTACAAACCCATATCAACCAAACCTTGAAGCTGCCAATCCAATCCATTTGTCATTTCTAATGTCAATTCTTTCTATGTTCATTTATTTTTCCATGTTTGTCTCTTCAGGAAAAGAATCAGTTCTAACCTGGGAAAGAAGAGTTAAGATCCTGAGAGGGTGCGCCCTTGGTCTTAGATACCTCCACCACTACATTGATGGTTGCATTGTTCATAGAGACATTAAGGTAGAGGCAAGGGCTTGTGGGTCTGTTTTTTTTCCCACTAAACTTTGATCCACAGATATCTCAATGTTTGTCATTCTATTTGTAATGTTATTGCCAGCTTACAAACATCCTTTTGACTGAGGAGTTGGAGCCCAAGCTGTCAGATTTCGGATTAGCAAAGATGATAGGCATGGAAGAGAGCAAAGTGTTCACTGAAGTCAGAGGAACTATAGGCTACATGGATCCTGAATACATGAGCAACGCCAAGTTGACATGTGGCAGTGATATCTACAGCTTTGGAATCGTTATTCTTCAGTTGTTGTCAGGCCAAAAGGTCATTGAGCTTGATCTTGATGCCAGAGACCAGATCACCAGAAAGGTAGTACTGTGAGATATTCAATTGATCAGCCCTGTAACTTGGAACTTGTTCATGATAATGAGTCTATTATTTCCTCTCTCGTCCAGGCAAAGGATGTGAGCCTGGGGAAAAGGCCACTGCTAGACTTTGAGGATCCAAGGCTCCATGGAGATCTCAACACTGAGGATTTTGAAGCCATCCTTCAAATTGCAGTCCTTTGCGTGGCGAAATCGAGCAAAGGTCGTCCTACGATTGATGTTGTGCTTGAAGTTTTGGAGAAGGCTTGGAAGAACACAGTTGCTCACAAGGTGAGTTTCTAATTCTCCAACTCCTCCATGCTTGTTTATTTTTTGGTACCATTTGGAACATGTGGCAATAACCATGAAAACAAAACAAAAGGCTGACCTATTGTGGTGTACTTTGCAGAAAACAAGGCCTGAAGTTAGCTCACCTGGAGCTTCTTCATATTCACATTCCATAGATGTTATCCCTACCTGAGACAAAACATCAGAAAAGAACAGAGCCACAGTAAAGCAAAGAGTGGACAAAATAAAGGAGACAACCTGATTTTTTGTTTCTTTTTTCACATCAGTGTTTGTGGCACAAGAAAGAAAGAGAGAAGCTTTTGAAATTGCCACCTTTTGCCATCTTCTTGTCTGTTTAAAGTTTGTTTATTTATTAGCTTAGTTTCAGAATGAATTTTATTCAATTAGAGTGCAAGGGATTATCACTTATTTCTATGTACCATTCTCTAATGTAATATACCGTCTGTATTTAGAGAAAAGGAATGCAGTATTCAAAGAGCTGATAATGAGAATCCTCACTTTTGCCTTCATCATAGATTCCTTTTGATATCCAACACACTCTCAGGTAATTTGCAACATGGTACTGAAGCCTTGGGGAAATCCAGAAGAAGAGTATCCCCTAAAACCAACGTCCATTTTGACTTTAGCTTCCATTTCGTCTAATAGATGATTGGGCACTAAAAACCTTAGGGTCGGTACTAACCAAATCACTGAATTTTCATCAACAAATTGTGCTCGAAGTACGTTTGAGTTGAGGTTTTAGCATTCAGAGCTCAAGTTGTCTGTACCTGCACAATTAGAGTTTGAGGCAGTCATTGTTTTGGGGATCAACAATTTACGATTTCATAAAGACTGGTCTAGACTTACAAGAGCTAGACCCAGCAAGTTTGAGCATAGTTTTCTCATCTGTTTTAAGGTTTATGCTCGACCACCTTGCTCTAAAAGACTTTTCTTCGTGCGAGCAGTCTTTCTATCTTTTTGGGTTGGAAAACCTTGAGGGCGGGCTGTTGTGCTAGTCAGAGCGGGATGGTGTGCTGGAAGCCTGGAAGACCTTTGAATTAACTCGAAAACTATTGCAGTTTATCTGGACTCTGGAGTTTGGACCAAGATCCAGATAAGTACATAGTTGATGAAGCAACCGAACAAACAGATTAACGAAGAAAGACAGAAAAGTTGAAGTGGTGATCTGAACTTATATGAAGACTAACAAAAAACCCAATCCATTTGGAATCATTGATGTAATCATTTGTAGTATATTTATACACTCAGATATACAAAAGAATCACTAGCAACTGATTGTTGCTTCTGTGTGGCTACACTGATACATTGAAAAAAAATCAGTGCAGCAGCCTATTCTGAATCCCAACAATAGAATTGGAATCCTACTTTTACATGAAAAAACTCTAATTGCAGCTACAGCTCTCTCTACACTTCCTTGACAAAAATCTAAAGGACTTTCGCTCCACTACTGCTAACTTCTGCCAACAACTTCCACACGCTGACCACGCCGCTTGCATCCCCTGTGAAAAACAAGCCTTCAGGCCCATTTCGAATTGCACTTACTTCCTTCTGTGAGTAAATCCTTCCAAACTCTTTGAGTGTTGGCAACTCGTACAACCCAACACTACAGTTGCTCCACGAACAGAACAAGATTGGCTTTCCTGCGGAATCATTCATCCCCCCAAGAGCAAGTGCAGCACTTTCCTCTTCATGCGTGTACAAAAGGCTTATGTCATCACTGTCATCTTCAGTGCAACCCCAGAACTTGACCTTCTTATCCATTGAGCAAGACAACAGGAACGTATTCCAGCAGATAACAGATGTCACAGCACCATCGTGTGCCTTGAGTGTTTGAATGCACTCCTCAGTATACAAATCCCAAACCTTGATGGTCCCATCCACCGAACCAGAATACAATCTTCTATACAATTCGCCATTTATGGTAGCTCTCAGGCAAGTAACTGCACTTCCATGGCCTCTCAGGTAAGTAGCAGGCTGCTGGAATTGTGGATTGGCTTGCTGATCAGTGAAGCCTTTCCAAATCGATATTGCACCATCTTCAAATCCAGCGTACAAGGCATCCAACCCAAACTCCAAGGCATTAACTTGACCTTTGGGACCAGTGAGGTCATGATAAACCCCTAACTTGAAGTTCCATGCTTTGACACCATTGGGGAAACCAACAAACACCCAGTCTTCATCGCTAATCAAACATCCAATCTTGTGGTCACCAACATTTGCAGTCCCTGCAAGCAAACCAGTATGGCAATCCCAAGCACGTACCACTCCACCACTGGTTGCTGAATAGAGTTTGTCGGATCCTGCAGGGAACCCAATCCCAGAAATAGACTTCTCACCATCATGCCCTTCTTCAATTAGTCTTGCAAGCATTGAGAACCCATCACCACGGCACCATGAATGTAGGAATTGACAGCTCTCCCCTCTGCCACAGTTTCCAGACATCCAATCTTGACAACAAGCAGCCTTCTTCTCTTCATAGTGTTCACTAGTAGTGGGGACGACAGCTACAGCTACATCATCAACTTCAGCATCTGGCTGCTTCGGAGAACTAGTAGTGTTTGCAGAAGCTGGTTTAGATGGGGATTGAGATGGGAGGACGCCATCAACATAACTGCTGCACTGCTTCCGTTGGCTCATCTGGGTGGCGGCGGCAGGTAGCTGAGAGCTTTTGGTTCTTTTGGAGACCCGGTCTTCTTCAAGTGGTGAGAGCTTCCTCCGCAGATCACCAGGGACCAAAGCTTGACTCTTTTGAGTTTGAGGCGCACGATAGACATTGGGACGATGACTATTCGAAGATGACGGCAGAGATTCCACCACCTTCGTTCCAGCTGGTTGCAGATCTCCATGCACGAACCTACAGGGGTTTCGGTTACACCTTCCTTGTTTCCAGTAGTGGCACACAATGCTGCGACTGCGACTACTCTTCATAGGCATTGTTACCTCAGCTGCTTGTTGATTAAAGATCGTCATCATCCTTAGACTGAAACAGATAAAGAACACGGCGACAGAGTAAACACCACGGACGAAACCCTAACGAAGGGAAACCCTAAAAGCACACGGAACTAGTCGTTTCTAAAATCCGTTCCATTTTCCACCCGACGATGCGACAAATATTTTAACCCAGAAAATAATGCGAACCCAGAGACGAGCGACGATCGAAGAGAGAAGAAACTAACCTTCGAGACCCCCGAACGATGAAATCCAGAGATGAGTGACGATCGATTCAGACTTCTGAAACCCTAATCCTTCGAAGAAAAGGGTTCCGTCTTCCGGCACCTCGAGCCGCGGAGAGATTGCAGAGTGGAAAATCTCGATTCAATAGAATACGGGTTCTGAAACCCTAATGATTGAGGAGAGAAATTGTGTGGAGGAATAAAAGAATATGGGATGAGGAAGACGTTTATGACAAGGAAAGAAAATGGGTGATGCTGCTCTTCGCTATATATAATCACCGGAAGGTCGGTGGGTTCATCGGACGCGTTTGTTGCCTCCAACGGTCGAGTTGAGTCCGAAAGCAGACATGGCGGCAAGTTCTCAAACGGCGTTTTTTTTTTGTCATAGATAGTTTGTAATAGATAGAGTGTTACAATGCAGTGGAAATATAAAGGCGGTAGTCAACCAACTAGGTTGCTACCAATGCAAGGGCCGTTTATGCCACGCGATGGGCAGCCCTGTTAGTATGCCTAGTAACATAAAAAAACCAAAAAACGCAAAGAAAGTCTTCTTTTAGCAAACTCCTTCAAGCACCAATTCGTCGAGTTCCAATAGCCTAGCAGTAGATTTGATGTGCAAGGTACCTGCAAAATAACACGCAGACAACCCCTAACAGGACAAACAAAATTAAAATACAATCGGACTTCCACCGAAAATGCTACACAAGCTATACAGACTATGCCTTCTGCAACACAAAAACAAATATGACAAAGCCAACTAGTAGAAGAAATATACTCCATGTCCGACGACAACCAAATCCTCACTATCATTAAAAGACACCAAATTACAAAACAATTGCAACTCCCATAAAAAATACCAAACACAATCGTAAACATAATAATAATTAAATATAAATTTAAGAAAGAATTAATAGACTTATCTGAATGCAGGATAGGTTCCGTGTTTGAAATTGTGACTGCCTATCCATTAGAATTTTAACCGCCATGAAATTATAACCGTCCGAAGGCCGGAGCGTTTTGAACAAGAATGAAGCCACTGGAGAGGTAACTGCAGCCCACTAGCCTGGCCGATTGTCGGCAAGGCTCGTCATCCACCGGAAAGACTCACCGAAGATCCCAGCCCACAACTCCTGCAAAAATAGGCAAAACTCACCGGAAAGGGTGTCAGAGATGGGGAAACACCACGAGCGGCTACGCACAAGGGCGTTAGGCAGCAAATTGCTGGAGCGCACAGTTGCGGAGAAAAATAAAAATAAAAATCCGTCGAACTCGACCCTTCTATCGGAAATCATCGTGAGTGCGTTACACGGGATTATCGAGGATAATTATAAAAGAAATTAAATAAATAATAGTAATAATAAAAAAGGAGAGAGCACTTATCCAACGTAACCGCCATCGTCCGGAATTGTAACCGCCAAGGCCAACGGCGACTTCGTCGTCTCCCGTCGTCATCCAGCCCTCCTCCTAGCGCCGTCGTCCTCATCGCTGTCCTCGTTCGTGGTCGGCGTCGGATCTCCCTTTGTTGGTCGCCAGAGCAAAGGACGGGACGGGAGATGATTCTCGATGTTGATCTCCCCTTCTTCCTTCACAAAACTGCTCGTATCGATGACATCAGCAACATCATCGTGCCTCGTGGGCAGGAAGGACGTGGCAGCCCGGTCGGGAGCGTACGCGCCGCCGCCTTCAATTCTCCCGTTGCTCCTCGCGACGGCGGACCAGAGTTTCATGAAATCACCCAAAGTGCACCCGGCGATTATCTTGTGCAGCATGGAGACGCCGATGGACTCAAACGGCGTTTTCTTCTCCTTTTTTTTTTTTTTTTTGATAGGATATCTGGCAGGATAAATTAAAAATTCAGTTCTGTTCAGTGGGCCCACGTCCCATCTCAGTTCGGTTACTTATTACTAGCTTATGATCTAGACTAGCTTAACCAGAATCTTTTTGTCATAGTTCACCTACCTTTCCACTGTGCTGGTCTCCTGCTGCCCTGCATAATAACACCTGGTTCCCAATCAAAGGATCGAACCGAACATTTACATGTCCTAATCGGCCTAAGTTCAGGTCCTTAAAGTCTCTTTTTTAAGGAGGAACTTAAAGCCTTGTGATTGGCTAACTCAAATTTAGGTAGTTAGTACTTAGTAGGGAGTTATTAGTTAAATAGCTGTTAGGGGTATTAAGGAGACTACAATTAAATTAAAACAAGTTGTCTTTTTTTTCTTTCAAAAACCCTAACCCGCCCACGTCTCTCTTTATTTTCGTCTGCTCATTATTCCTCCCGCAAGCAGGCAGGCGAAACGTCAAGTCACAAGTTCCTCCGGCCGTCGTCCCTAG